GTTGAATGCTTTCGAAAAGCGTCTTAAAGTATGCCATCGCTTTCAGTAACGAACTCCATTGTAGAACCACCTCAACTTTCTAAACGACGTCCAAGAGTTGATAGATGATTTTAAACGGGCTTCGAGTGGCATGCTGTCCTGGATACAGAGAAGGGAAAGTGGGATTTCACAATCAGATGCAGAAGAAGGCACCTCAAAGTTGGAACAGTGCCGAAGCATTTTACAGCAATTGGTTGTCAGGATGGACAGTCGATCACATCAAAGACATTTTTCTCAGAGACTTGGCGACACTAACAGGTTGTTGCAAGAACTGAGTAAATGGAAATGCACTGCTTCCACGCTTGCTTGTGATGCAGTTCGACAGTTCCAGACACTTGAAGAACAATTCGAAATGGCAAACGATTTACGAGATGGGGTAAGTTTTTTGTCCGTTATCCTCACTCAGGGAGGTGTGGATGATTCCGTTCGCCGGGCATATTGCCTCCATTTTTTTCCTTTAAGTTGAAATCTTCCCAATATTTTTCAATGGACTGGCAATACTTCTGTCGTCTTATGCGTCAAATCCAAAGCTACATGGACAAAAATTTGGCTGGTATTCATGATCTTCTACCGACTCATGGATTTGATGATACCGTCAGTAAATTAGCTTTTGCCACATCAACTCTTGCGCGTCTGGAGGATTTTTCCAGCCAAATAAATGTGGCCATGAAATCGTAAGTAGTGTGACTTCTTAAATGACAACGTACATCGAACATACTGTCGCCTCAATAAGATGAGTGAAGGGATGGTGGTGATGAAGGCGTGAGCAAAAGGTCTGATTAATTGACGTGGGTTCGATCGACTAAGTAAACTGTCATCTGAAATTTGATGGACTTGGATCCTTTCTGAACAATCGGTCAGATACTGTCCGAGTTCGATTGTACTTGTTGTAGCAGAATTCGCAAACTAAAATATGAAAATTGCCTTCCTGCCCTTATAGGCTTAGCTCCAGTGATGCTGTAGACTCCCCTCAGCAAAGGTCAGCTGAAATCGAGCGCATTTTTGCCAAATACGATTCTTCAATGATGATTTTTGCAAGAGATACAATTCTACGATTGGATACTGCCATTGCCAAGTTGAAAGAATCGACAGAAACTCTGCAACACCTACAAGAAGACTGGCGTGCATACGTGACTGATCTGGACAGCTTTCGAAATTGGCTTCTTCAGAGGGCCCTCTTCAGTAAGCGTGATCGTCAGAGAAGCTCCTTTGAGGTGGGTCTCCTATTATAATGGAAGTTTACTGTATCCGCCACAGGAACTTAACCAAGGGGGTGAACGGTTGCGGAATCTTCGGGACACCTTCCGCAGACTCAGTGGAAAGCGCCTTCGAGTTGATCCGGAGTTGGAAAAGTTGGACAATGATTACAAAAGTCTCCTTTATCGCATGTGCCACCGAGAAGTGAGGGCTTGGTACCTTTCTAAACCATCTTATTGTAGTCCTCAAGTCCAAGTTTACATGAAACTCCGGAACCTGATTCTTCAAAATGTTCTAGAACTGGAATTTTGGCAGATTTGCTGCAGACAGTGCAGCACATCAAGTCAGATGTGGAACAGGCGGATATTCGAGCCGAGAGAAGGTATATATCCATGTAAAATGGCTGACTTTTGGCGTCCAACACTCAAAATTATGTACACTTGCTTCTTCATACAGCTATCACAATCTTCACCGCAAATTCCATCGAACAATGCGGCGCTCAAGGTCACAGCACCACTAAGAACAAATACGACTCAGTGCACCCAGCCCTTTTTCTCTTATGTCCACCTAATTCCTCCTCAATTAACTACCTCCCTCTTTCAACAAAATTTAGCCATTTCAACTGGATGAGAAATGATAGAGCCTGGAGAACTTCAACGAAAGCCATTCATTGCCATATTTGTGGGTAAGCCGAGCAGATGCTTATACATGGACTGTAGCATTAAGTTTCTCTGCTCCTCCTCCTCCTCTCAACCTCCTGATCCATCACCTATCATTATTTTTTAGACGTCTGGACCCA